CATAGATCACGTATATCACTTCATTTTTTTTGGTGCTGGCGTCATCTGACGCTATGCTACAGCTGAGCCAGAGATGGCGGAGGAGGCGAGGGGGGGGAGGTGGAGTGGTAGATGTCTCTTTTGCCAACTTTTGTCTCTCAGTAGCACACAGACTGCCAAGGAAGAATGCGATCTAGCCTCGCCACCTGTAACTGGCGTTCTGATCATGCATAGGGCACACATTTTTCTGTTATGGCGTCCTTTGGGGCGTGATAGGTTGGTGCCGACACCGGTGCTAATTTAGTTGGGCAGCTGGAAGGAGGGGCATAGTGCGCGCACATAGGACATAGCACTTTACGTGTCTAGACTGCGCCCTTTTAGATCCTCTCTGCTCTGCTACGATCCGCACTGGAGACGGGTCACTTCTCCCCAGCCTCAGTTTAGCAGAGCGGCGTGCCGAGTGGGAGTACTACTGGCGAACAGAAGCCTGGATATGCCCCGTCCCCTCAAAAGCAAGATTATGTTGAATTTTTCGAAAAAGGCATGACGCCACACATTTGGTCGTAATAACATCGGTGCCTGGAACGACTGCTATTTTTGTGATCAGCCCTAAAGACGACTTTGCGCCGTGGGAGTTGTGATTTTGAAGTCAGAGTGTTAGTTTGGATCAGCGCCAAATCTTAAATTCCATTTTTGTTTTTCTCGTTTAATCAGAGTTTCGATGTTGATTATGCTGTTAAAGAACCTGCTGACTGGGAGCATCCATTATCCCGCCTTCACTCGCAAAGGTCCTGAGTTGGAGGGTCTCTTGAAGCTAGTGAATGAGGCTCATTCGCTCTCGAGGAAAATGCACCAGACAGCAAACCAGCTAGTGGAACAGTCTGAAATGGAAATTTGCGAGATGTAAGTGCTCTGTCCACTTTTCTTTTGGATCTGGGAAAACTGATATTACTTTTGCTCGATCTCAGTAGTTGTTTCTTCTAGGTTAACAGTAAACCGATCACTAGAACATCTCTCTTCGAATGGAGAGGAGTTGAGAACTGCTCTCAAGGAACTGCGCAAATGGTTTGGATTTGAATGCACTCGTGCTGACGAAGCTGTGAACGAAATACTACCTCGATTGAAGGTGAGTAATTAGCTTTAGGTAAAGCTTCGCGAAAGATCTCCTAGCAGGATATAACTCGGAGCTCCTGAGCAGGCGCAACAAGGCCCCTTACCTATTCAAGTTACCTTTGTAACGCCCTATAAAGCTGAAACATACCCGGACGCCCACCGCGCCCACCCCGAGTGTCCGACCGATGCTGATGCTCTTATCACTATACCCCCCCACGAGTGTCCGACCGATGCTGATGCTCTTATCACTTTATTTGCGGAGTGCAGTATGAAGCGACTGCTGTGCTGCATGGTTATGTGAGAACATAGCAGCCGAATCTACCATGGCGGTTATTGGCCCGATGCCAACGGGAAACGCGTCCGAAATTGCTCTCTGATTCGTGTACAACAAAGCTTTTTGCTGGTTTTCGGCGTCACTTCGCTTTTTTGCCGCTTTTCCACTATGAAGCACCCCTGATACCATTTCACACCACCAAATTATCGTGCGGATTTCAGGTAGAATTCATTGAGACAAAATCAACAACCGTCTGTATGGATTCTGCTCTCTTGTTCGTTCAAAATCTATACAAATCAGTGGTCGAAAATTCAAACACTAGCAGTATGCGCTTGATGGATAGACTTGATTTTGCCTTGGACGCAGTGACGGCTTCTGGTTACGAAAAGGTAAGTTACTTCTGTTTTCACTTCTTCGTTGAACGTAACAGTAGGCACATCTTCACAGAGATTGCTGGGCATTTAGGTAGTTGCATGGGCGTCACGAACACTTTCTGATGCCAAAGTTGGCGCAGTCCCAGAAACCCTTGACGAGATCACCTCATTACTGCGTGTCGTTACTGAACTCTTCTCTGCCATGAACAGCTTGGTCTCGTCTGCACTACAAGCATTTGCTTCTCTCTACTGTGCTCTTCTGTCGATGAGCATGCAGCTTTTCGAAAAGGTGAGTGTTGATTTGGTAATCTAATGTCTCATTTGTGGCCATCAAAGTAAAATGCCTCCCGTCACTAAATCAACTTCATTTCTCCGTTTTTGTCGCCCAGGATTTGCTCTATTCTAGGTCTAGATTCAGCCGATTTTTTAAAAGAATGTTTCCTAAAATTTGTTAATTCAGGGATATATCAATCCTATACCTAAAGCAGAAAAACAAGAATCAGGTCAAGGGAGTACGGATGAAGCCGGTGAAGGTATCTCTATTCCGTTAGAATGTTAGCCCCTAGAAACTAACAGAATATGGCTTCCAGGCGGTGGAATGGGCGAAGGTGAAGCGAAGAGTGACGCAAAAGATGTGACTGATGAAATGGAGGAAAGCGGTCAGATTGAAGGTTTACAAGATGATGAATGTGAACCGCCTAGTGGTGATGCAGGTCAAAACGAAAAACCTATCGAAATGGAAGAGGTAGAAGTTCTGGTACTCAATATTCTGGTGACTTTTTACACACAGAAAGCATGGTCAGATATTTCGGTCCATACGAATTCTATATGTCCCGCTTTCATTTGGTGCGGACGAACTGCCTGCCTTCCCCGGGGGGGGGGGGTAGTCCTAGAGAACTTACCACTCAAAGCACATGATGAGACGTCACTCGATCGCAGCAAAGGCGATCTTCCGCCTGCTGCCCCACACCGCGCCCAACGTTTACTACTTGAAAGTCGTACGGTGGTTTCGCTGCTGGTTTTCTTCATTCTGAATGGTGAGAGTGAAGTGGTAGGTAAAAGAGCTGTTATCTATGACCCGGTAAGTGG